ATCGATCGATCCTGAGGCAATCAATCGATCGATCCGAGACAATCAATCAATCAATCAATCAATCAATCAATCAATCCTGAGGCAATCAATCGATCAATCCTGAGGCAATCAATCGATCGATCCTGAGGCAATCAATCAATCAATCAATCGATCCTGAGGCAATCAATCAATCAATCGATCCTGAGGGAATCGATTGATCCTGAGGCAATGAATCAATCGATCCTGGGGAAATCAATCGATCAGTCCTGAGGTAATCAATTGATCAATCCTGAGGCAATCAATCAATCAATCAATCCTGAGGAAATCAATCAATCAATCAATCAATCAATTCTGAGGCAATCAATCAATTGATCTTGAAGCAATCGATCGATCCAGAGGCAATCAATCAATCAATCTGAGGTAATCAATCAATCAATCAATCGATTCTGAGGCAATCAATCAATCGATCCTGAGGAAATCAATCAATTGATCCCGAGGCAATCAATCAATCAATCAATCAATCAATCAATCAATCGATCCTGATGCGATCAACCCTTGCGCTGTCTTTGCCTCGAGGGGCGGGGTCGGGTGATCTCCATGAGTCCTTCCTGAGCCCGAGGACCCCGAATTTCCCCATTTTTGGGGTCCCCACCTGCTCGTTGATATTCTGGTGGTTCAGGGGTCCCGAATTTCCCCAAATTTCCCCAAATTTCCCTGAATTTCCCCAAATTTCCCCGTTTTTGGGGTACCCACCTGCTCGTTGATGATCCGGTTGTTCAGGGACTACGAATTTTCCCAGTTTTCCCAAATTTCCCCAAATTCCCCACCTTCTCGTTGATGTCCCATTGGTTCAGGGGTGTCTACAATCCCAAATTTCCCCAATTCTCCCCAAATTTCCCCAAATTTCCCTGAATTTCCCCAAATTTCCCCGAATTTCCCCATTTTTGGGGTCCCCACCTGCCGGTTGATGTTCCGCTGGTTCAGGGGTGTCCACAATCCCAAATTTCCCCAAATTTCCTCAAATTTCCTCAAATTTCCCCAAATTTCCACGTTTCTGGGATCCCCACCTGTTGGTTGATGTTCCGGTGGTTCAGGGGCCCCAGATTTCCCGAATTTCCCCAAATTTCCCCGAATTTTCCCAGATTTCCCCACCTGTCTGTTGATGTCCCGTTGGTTCAGGGATGTCCACAATCTCAAATTTCCCAAATTTCCCCAAATTTCTCCGAATTTCCCCAAATTTCCCCGAATTTCCCTGAATTTCCCTGAATTTCCCCGGATTTTCCCAAATTTCCCCGGATTTCCCCAAATTTCCCCAAATTTCCCGAAATTTCCCCAAATTTCTCCAAATTTCCCCAAATTTCCCCAGATTTCCCACCTTCTCATTGATGTTCTGGTGGTTCGGGGGTCCCAAATTACCCAAATTTCCCCAAATTTCCCCAAATTCCCCAAATTTTCCCAAATTTCCCCGTTTTTCCCCATTTGTGTGTCCCCACCTGCTCATTGATGTCCCGTTGGTTCCGGGGTGTCCACAATCCCAAATTTCCCCGTTTTTCCCCATTTTTGGGGTCCCCACCTGTCTGTTGATGTCCCGTTGGTTCTGGGGTGTTCACCACCCCGAATTTTCCCGAACTTCCCCAAATTTTCTCAAATTTCCCCAAATTTCCCCATTTTTTGTGTCCCCACCAGCTCGTTGATGTCCCGCTGGTTCCGGGGTGTCCACAATCCTAAATTTCCCCAAATTTCCCCAAATTTCCCCAAATTTCCCCAAATTTCCCACCTTCTTGTTGATGTTCCGCTGGTTCTGGGGTGTCCACGATCCCAAATTTTCCCGAATTTCCCTGAATTTCCCGAATTTCCCCGTTTTTGGGGTCCCCTCCTGCCGGTTGATTTTCCTATGGTTCAGAGACCCCAAATTTCCCCAAATTTCCCAAATTTCCCCGAATTCCCCACCTGTCTGTTGATGCCCCTCTGGTTCAGGGTGTCCACAATCCCAAATTTCCCCTAATTTCCCCATTTTTCCCCATTTTTTGGGATCCCCACCTTCTCATTGATGTCCCGTTGGTTCCAGGGTGTCCACAATCCCAAATTTCCCCAAATTTCCCCATTTTTGGGTTCCCCACCTGCTCATTGATGTTCCTCTGGTTCAGGGGTGTCCACAATCGCAAATTTCCCAAATTTCCCCAAATTTCTCAAATTTCCCCACCTGCTCATTGATGTTCTGGTGGTTCAGGGGTCCCAAAGTTCCCTGAATTTCCCGAATTTCCCCATTTTTGGGTTCCCCACCTGCTTGTTGATGTTCCAGTAGTTCAGAGACTCCGAATTTTTCCAAATTTCCCCAAATTTTCCCAATTTTCCCCGAATTTCCCTGTTTTTGGGATCCCCACCTTCTCATTGATGTTCCACTGGTTCAGGGGTCCCGAATTTTCCCCGAATTTCCCCAGATTTCCCCAAATTTCCAGAATTTTCCTGAATTTCCCCATTTTTGGGGTACCCACCATGGTTCGGTGGTTCAGGGACCCCAAATTTCCCAAAATTTCTCAGAATTTTCCCCGCTTTTGGGGTCCCCACCTTCTCGTTGATGCTCCGCTGGTTCAGGGGTGTCCACAATCCCAAATTTTCCCAAATTTTCCCAAATTTCCCCAAATTTTCCCCAAATTTCCCCAAATTTTCCCAAATTCCCCACCTGTCTGTTGATGTCCGGTTGGTTCCGGGGTGTCCACAATCCCAAATTTGCCAAATTTCCCCCAAATTTCCCCGAATTTCCCCAAATTTCCCCGAATTTCCCCATTTTTTCCCCATTTTTGTGTCCCCACCTGTCTGTTGATGCTCCTCTGGTTCCGGGGTGTCCATTACCCCAAATTTCCCCAAATTTCCCCAAATATTCCCAAATTTCCCCAAATTTCCCCATTTTTTCCTAAATTCCCCACCTTCTCGTTGATGCTCCTCTGGTTCAGGGGTGTTCACAATCCCAAATTTTCCTGAATTTTCCCGAATTTCCCCATTTTTGGGGTCCCCACATGCTCATTGATGTCCCTCTGGTTCCGGGGTGTCCACAATCCCAAATTTCCCCAAATTTCCCCATTTTTTGGGATCTCTACCTGTCTGTTGGTGCTCATCTGGTTCAGGGGTGTCCGCAATCCCGAATTTTCTCCAAATTTCCCCGAATTCCCCCAAATTTCCCAAATTCCCCACCTGTCTGTTGATGTCCCGTTGGTTCCGGGGTGTCCACAATCCCGAATTTCCCCAAATTTTCCCAATTTCCCCAAATTTCCCAAATTTGCCACCTGTCTGTTGATGTCCCTCTGGTTCCGGGGTGTCCACAATCCCAAATTTCCCCTTTTTTTCCCCATTTTTGGGTTCCCCACCTGCTCATTGATGTCCCGCTGGTTCAGGGGTCCCAAATTTCCCATATTTCCCCAAATTTCCCCAAATTTCCCCATTTTTTGGGATCTCCACCTGTCTGTTGATGCTCCGTTGGTTCCGGGGTGTCCAGAATCCCGAATTTCACCAAATTTCCCAAATTTCCCCAAATTTCCCCATTTTTCTGTCCCCACCTGTCTGTTGATGTCCCGCTGGTTCCGGGGTGTCCAGAACCCCAAATTCCACCAAATTTCCCCAATTTTCCCCAAATTTCCCGATTTTCCCAAATTTCCCTACCTGCTGGTTGATGTTCCATTGGTTCAGGGGTCCCGAATTTCCCCAAACTTCCCCGAATTTCCCCAAATTTCCCCCCAATTTCCCCAAATTTCCCAAATTTTCCCAAATTTCCCCGAATTTCCCTGAATTTCCCCACCTTCTTGTTGATGTTCCGGTGGTTCTGGGGTGTCCATTACCCCAAATTTTCCTGAATTTCCCCAAATTTCCCAAATTTTCCCAAATTTCCCGAATACCCCACCTGTCTGTTGATGTCCCGCTGTTTCCGGGGTGTCCACCACCCCGAATTTTCCCGAATTTCCCAAATTTTCCCAAATTTCCCACCTCTCTGTTGATGCTCCGCTGGTTCAGGGGTGTCCATTACCCCAAATTTTCCTGAATTTTCCCAAATTTCCCAAATTTCCCCAATTTTCCCAAATTTCCCCACCTGTCTGTTGATGTCCCGCTGGTTCAGGGGTGTCCACGTGCTCAGCCTCACCCTCAGCGCGGATCCCTCGGGATTTTTGGGGGGCGCGAACGCCATCGACACCGAAGGGGCGGATCCTCCACAAAACTACAAAATAAAGCAAAAATGGGTTTTATTCTGATGCTGTTTTTTTTATTTTAATGGAGAAAAAAAATTAAAATTATTTGAGTAATTAATAAATAAATAAAATA